ATAGATTAGTGGTTGTCTAGGCCTAGGAGGATTGGAGGAAAATGGAGGGGCAGTGATTGCTAAAGGTACAGGGTTTCTTTTTGAGGTGATAAAGGTGTCCTAAACTGATTGCGAAGATGGTTCTATAACTCTGTGAATATCTATCTAAAAACTACTGAATTAGACACTTTAAAAAGGCAAATTGTATGCTATGTGAACTATACCTCAATAAAGCTGTTAAATATAAAACAAAGCAACCTAAAACTAAGAAACTTTTAGAAGAGGACTTAGAAACAAATCCTTGTGACCTAGGGTTAGACTAAGAGTTATTGGACATGACACAAAGTATGATTCAAAAAGGAAAAATATACAACTCAACAACAAGGAAGCAAACAACCCAATGAAAAATGGGCAGAAGGCCTAAACAGACATTTCTCCAAAGAAGAAATACAGATGGCTAATAGGAACATGAAAGATGCTCAACAGTGCTAATAGTAGAGAAATGCAAATCAATTACCATGAGGTACCACCTCTCACCAGTCAGAATGGCCATCATTTAAAAGTCTACAAATAACAAATGCTGGAGAGCGTATGGAGAAAAGTGAACCTTCCTACACTGTTGGTGGGAATGTAAGTCAGTGCAGCCACTATGGAGAACAGTATGGAGGTTCCTCAGAAAACTAAAAATAGAATTACCATATGATCCAGCAATCCCACTCCTGGGCATGTATCTGGGCAAAACTATGATTCAAAAACATACATGCACCCCTATGTTCATAGCAGTACTATTCACAATAGGCAAGACATGGAAACAACCTAAATGTCCATTGACAGATGAATAGATAAAGAAAATGTGGTATATATATACATATATATATAATGGAATACTACTCAGCCATAAAAAAGTACAAAATATAAAGCCACTTACAGCAACATGGATGCAACTATAGATTATCATACTAAGTGAAGTAGTCAGAAAGAGAAAGACAAATACCATATGATATCACTTATATGTGGAATCTAAAATATGACACAAATGAACCTATCTATGAAACAGAATCACAGACATAGAGAACAGACTAGTGTTTATCAAGGGGGAGGGGGTTGGGGGAGGGGTGGAGTGGGAGGTTGAGGTTAGCAGATGTAAGCTTTCATATGTAGAATGGATTAACAACAAGGTCCTACTGTACAGCACAGAGAACTATATTCAATATGCTATGGTAAACTGTAATGGAAAAGAATATAAAAAAATGTCTATATATGTATAAATGAATCACTTTGCTGTACAGCAGATTAATACAACATTGTAAATCAACCATCTTCAATAAAAACAAAACAAAACAAAAAGGTAAAATGGATAAATTGGACTTTACCAAAATTAAAACTTATGCTGTTTTTCATTTTGAGAGGATGAAAACACAAGTCATCAAATGGGAGAAAATATTTGTAAATCACATATCTGACAAAAAGACTTGTATCCAGAATATACTCTCTAAATTAAATAGAAAGATAATCCAATTAGAAAATGCACAAGAGACTTGAAGAGACTTTTCACCAAAGAAGATATATGGATGGCAGAAAATTAAAAATATGAAAAGCTGTTCAACATCACTACCTGTTAAAGAAATGCAAATTAAAATCACTAAACACATTTAACGTTTAAAATGCTGCTAACGTTTAAAATGCTGCTAAGTACCAAATGATAAAGAGGATGCAAAAACATGATTCTCTTATATGTTACTGGTGGATATGTAATATGGTACAATCTGGAAATCAATCTGGAAATTTCTTTAAAAATTAAACATATTTACCACATGATCCAGGAACTGCATTTCTGGGCATTTATTTTAGAGAAACTAAAACTAATGTTTTCCAAAAAGCCTATACACAAACGATCATGGCATCCTTATTTTGTAATAGCTCCTAAATGGAAACAACCCAAATACTCCTCAATGGATAAATGGTTAAACAAACTGTGATATCTCCACACAATATTACACTACTCAGCAATAAAAAAGGAAAAAACTATTGATACATGCAATGATATGGAGGGATCTTAAGGGCATTATGCTAAGTGAAAAAAAGCCAAGCTCAAAAGGCCATATGCTATAAGATTCCATTTATATAACATTCTAGAAATGAAGAAATTATAGCGATGGAGAACAGATCAGTGGTTGCCAGAGGTTAGGGGAAGGGAGTGGGGGGAGTGACTATAAAGGGTAGTATGAGGGAGTTCCTTTATGGTGATGGAACAATTCTTCTGTATGTTGATTGTCATGGTGGTTATACAAACCTATACATATGATAAAATGTCACAGAATTATATATAAAAACAAGAAAAAGTGAGTACATGCATAAACTGGTAATCTTTGAGTTAGGTCTGTAGCCTAAATTTCCTGGTTCTGATAATGTATACTAATAATAAAGTATAAAGTATACTTTTCATAAAGTATACTTATATAAGATATCATTGGGGGAAGTGGGTGATGGGTATACAGGACATCTTTGTAATTTTTCTGCAACTTTTTGGTCTGTAATTCAGAATAAGATAAGATAAATCTATTGTATTTATATTTACTAACAACAAACAGTTGGGAAATAAAATTTTTAAATCAATACTATTTACCATAGCATAAAAATAACTATAAATAAAACAAACAAGTGTGAAGGACTTCTATACTGAAAACCACAAACTAAAATAAAAGAACACCTCAACAAATTAAATAAATACATTTAAATTAAAGAAGTCAATAAAAGTAGAGTGGGACTTTCCTGGTGGCACAGTGGTTAAGAATCTGCCTGCCAATGCAGGGGACACGGGTTTGATCCCTTGTCCGGGAAGATCCCACATGATGTGGAGCAACTAAGCCTGTGTGCCACAACTACTGAGCCTGCGCTCTACAGCCTGCGAGCTGCAACTACTGAGTCCACGTGCCACACTTACTGAAGCCCGTGTGCTCTAGAGGCCGCATGCCACAACTACTGAGCCCGCATGCTGCAACTACTGAAGCCCACACGCCTAGAGCCCGTGCTCCACAACAAGAGAAGCCCATGCACTGCAATGAAGCATAGTCCCCCCTTGCTACAACTAGAGAAAGCGCGCGCGCAGCAACAAAGACCCAATGCAGCCAAAAAAAACTTTGACAGTTTGGCAACAGAATTAAACACCTCTTACCATTTGATCCAGCAAGCATGCTCTTGGTAGTCACCCAAATGAGTTGAAAATGTATGTCCACACAAAAACCTGCACATGAATGTTTATAGCAGCTTTATTCATAATTGCCAAAACTTGAAAGCAACCAAGATGTCCTTCAGTAAGTGAGTGGATAAATAAATTGAAGTAGATCCATACAATGGAATATTATTCAGCACCAAAAAGAAATTGTGCTATCAAGCCTTAAAAAGACAGAGAGAACTTTAAATGCATATTAATAAGAGAAAGAAGCCCCAAAAGGCTACATACTGTATGATTCCAACTATATGACATTCTGGAAAAGGCAAAACTATGGAAACAGCTAAACAATCACTGGTTGGAGGGAAGGATGAACAGGGATGGAACAAGAAGATTTTTAGGGTAGTAAAACTATTGTGTCTGATACTATGATGGTACATACATCTCTGTCTCTCTGTCTTTCTGTCTCTTTGTTCCTGTTTATCTCTGTGTGCATGTGTGTGTGTGCCTGTCTGTCTGTCTGTCTCTCTCTCTATATATAGATATGTCAAAACCCATAGAATGTAGGATTCAAGAGTGAATACTAATGTAAACAATGGACTTTAGGTGATGATGTGCCAGTGTAGATTCATTAGTTGTAACAAATGTACCACTCTGGTGCACGATGTTGATAGTGGAGGAGGCTGCACTTATATGGGGGCAAGGAGTATATGAGAACTCTATTTTTTTCTCAATTTTGCTGTGAACCTAAAACTTCTTGAAAAAATTAAGTCTATTAAGAAAAAACTACAGTGAGATACTATTACACATCCATCAGATTGTTAAAAAATTTAGGAGCTTAAAAACATCAGTATTTGTTGATATGGAGCAATCCTAGCAATTATGCATGCCTGAGGGGAATGTATATTGACAAAACTACTTTGGAAAATAATTTGAAGTTATCTAATAATATTAAACATGCACAAACCCCATGAGTCAGTGATTCTACTGTTAGGTACACTCCCTATGGAAATTTCCTTTAAAAAAACCAACTGAAAACAACTCAAATGTCCATAACATAAAATTTGATATATTAATACAATGGAATATGATATAATAATAAAAAATGACGAATGATGGGTATATGCACCAACCTGGATGAGTCTCAGAAATGTAATAGAAAAAGGGAAGACTATATTAGACGTAGAGTCCAAACATATAACATTTAATAATGCATTGATTAGCTATATCATAGTTTAAAATTTCTACTGGTGTCTCCCTTGTTTTACTTTGTCCATACAACTATTTTGATGCCATATAACAGAAAGTTAATTATGTGTCTGCCTTTCCCACTTGTACTACACTAGCACTTTTAAGGTAGGGTTTGTATCTTACTATCCTCAATAGGTAGGGCCCAGAGCTCAGAATGTAATGAAGCCTTAATAAACCCTTATTAATTTCAATTAGCATTTTGTATTTAATTTCAGTTAGTTGGTTTGGTTAGGTTATTTGGTTATCTGAGTATCCTCTTATCTCCAAATCTCTTTCTTCTGATAGGCTTGGCAATTTTTGCTTTGTTTTTTTATGCCATTTATCTTCATCCCTGTAACAATTCCAATATGGGGAATACAGGTTCTCAGGCTAGAGATACAGAGAAGCAACTGTAGAAGGAGACATTTTCATTTAGTCTTTCAGTTTCCTGTAATATAAACTCTAACTAGCTTGGGTAATTTAAATTTAGCTCCTTGTTATTGTACCTCAAATTTAAAAATAATAGTGGATAATTTAAATAATTTAAAGACAACAATGCTAATGACATGGTGTCAAAAGAAATTATTTGAAAACATTGCTATAAAATATTACACACTACCTGTAATCGGAAATTTCCAGTATGAAAATTTTGAGAAATAAAAACACACTGAGAATTAGATTTAATCTTTGCCTTTGATGGTCTTTGTCTGCATCTCTCATCAATTGTTTTAAATTTGGAATCTTGAAATATTTCTCTGAAAAATATTTTATAGAGAATATTATTAAACATGAATTATAAAACAAAATTATTCTGTTTCCAACAGTTCTACATAAACATTTTAAAATCAGAATATATATTTATTTTTAAAAGCACAAATCAACTTATATATTCCCTTTTCATATGTTACTGATTTCATTACACCTATTTTGTCCATAGAACATAAATTAAGCTACTTCTTCGCAGGGTTAATATTTCCAGTTTGAAGATTAACCATCAGTTTTTGATAACCTTCTCTCTGGTTGTGAGATAGTTAATCGATTTAATGTCAATTAGTCTTTTCATAGATTTGCCTTTAATGGCAAAGGAAATTAAATGAAATGGAACTCAGTGGCCAATTTTATATTTAATAATGTCTCTGGCAAAAGTAAGTAGAAGGAAACTGAATTGAAACTAATGACTTATAAGGGAAGAGTACCTGTGATCTTTATGCATGCAGCCACAAGTAATTTTGAGAGAAGGTTAGAAATAATGAAGCAGCAAGTAAACTGATCAAAGCGGATCAAAGATAGTTAAGTATAAAGGAATGTAGTTTCTAATAGTAATTCTAAACTTAACAATTGAAAAAATAATGCTGATTGCCTTTTCTTCTTTCCGAGGTACTAGAAATTTTCCAAATTAATTCAAGAGATCATATTATGTTACTTATTGCAGTATTAACAATTAAAATTCATTCATTTATTGAATTCAATTGACTTAACAAATATTTACCGAGTATTTACTATGCGCCATGCATTATGCTGGATGTTGTATATACAGTGGCAGGGGAAAAAAAGCACAGCCACTATACTCATGGAACTGTCATTGCTCTCATGGAGCTTAAACACTAGCAAGGAAGACAGGTATTAATAAAACAATCACAAGAACTTACAACTGTGGAAAGTGTTCTCAAGGAAAGCTACCTGCTACTCTCTGAGTATATAAGAAAGGGAATTAACTTGGTTAGAGAGGTCAAGGAAGGCTTTTCTGAGGATGAGATGATTGAATTAGGCATCTGAACAAATGGGAGTAGTTATTAGATAGAGTGTAGTGGAGGAGGGGAGTTGTAGGAGTAAGAATATTCTAGTCAGAGAGAATATCAAGTAAGACCTAGTGGCCAGATTAGGACAGTGTAGCAGAAGCACAGAAAGCAAGAGGGAAAGGTGGAGATGAAACTGGAGAGTATGCATGGGCAGACCTGTAGGGCCTTAAAAGTCATGTGACTTTGTCTTCATCCTAAAAGCAATAGCAAGTCCTTTATAATGTAGTGGGAATGGGGTGGAAGGGTGGGGTGACTTGATCAGATTTGCATTTGGAAAATATCTGGCTGAAGTGCGAAGAAGAGATTAAATGAGGAGTATAGTGAAGGTAAAGGGTCAGTTATAACTCTGTAGGACTATGTGGGGGATAATGATAAGTTGGATAAGGTAGTGGCAATGATAATGGAGAGAAATGGATATATTTGAGGAATTAATGAAGTAAAATAAATAGAACTTGGTGATGGTTCGAATTTAGTAGGGGTGGGAAAGAGAGAGGGAGATATCAAGCATGTCTACTGTCTTTCAAGGAAAAAAAACAAAACAAAACAATCTTTCCTTGACCTCACATTTTTTTCCAGTTTCTGCCCCTTTCAGCAACTCCCCAACATCAAAAAAAAAAAAGCTTCTTAAGAGGATGTATATACTTGCCTGAATTTTCTCTTGTACTTTACACAAAAGTCAGCTTCTGAACACATCACTCCACCAAAGCTGCTCAAGGCTACCAATAACTTCCATGTTGCTATTCCAAAACTTATTTCTCTATCCTCATCTTTCTCAACCTTTTTTTTTTTTTTTTGCAGTACGCGGGCCTCTCACTGTTGTGGCCTCTCCCATTGCGGAGCACAGGCTCCAGATGCACAGGCTTAGCGGCCATGGCTCACGGGCCCAGCTGCTCCGCGGCACGTGGGATCTTTCCGGACCTGGGCACGAACCTGTGTTCCCTGCATCGGCAGGCAGACTCTCAACCACTGTGTCACCAGGGAAGCCCAAACATTTTCTACTTTTGACTTCCTTGACACCATACATCTTTCTGCTTTTCCTTCTCAGATGTTGTTGATTCTTCCTACTCTTTTTCTATATGTCTAATATTGGTGAGCTGAAGACCGGTCCTATGTTCTCTTTAAACAATCACTCCCTGGTTAGTCTGATCCAGTTGTATGACTTTTTTTTAAATTGGAGTATAACTGCCTTACAATGTTGTGTTAGTTTCTGCTGTACAATGAAGTGAATCAGCTATATGTATACATATATCTGTTCCCTCTTGGACCTCCCTCCCTCCCACCACCATCCTACCCATCTAGGTCATCACAGAGCACCGAGCTGAGCTTCCTGTGCTTTACAGCAGGTTCCCATTAGCTATCTATTTTACACATGGTAGTGTATATATGTCAATCCTAATTTCCCAATTCATCTCACACTCCCCTTCCCCCCATGTCCACCCATCGGTTCTTGTGTCTGCATCTCTATTCTTGACCACAAATAGGTGCATCTGTACCATTTTTTCTAGATTCTACATATATTAGTTAATATAAAATGTTTGTTTTTCCCTTTCTGACCCACTTCACTCTGTATGACAGAATCTAGGTCCATCCACACCTCTACAAATGACCCAATTTCGTTCCTTTTTATGTATGACTGAGTAATATTACATTGTATATATGTACCACATCTTCTTTATCCATTCATCTGTCAAGGGACATTTAGGTTGTTTCCATCTCCTGGCTATTGTAAATAGTGCTCCAATGAACATGTGTCCTTTTGAATTATGGTTTACTCAGGGTATATCCCAGTAGTGGGATTGCTGGGTCATATGGTAGTTCTATTTGTAGTTTTTAAAGGAACCATCATACTGTTCTCCACAGTGGCTGTATCAATTTACATTCCCACCAGCAGTGCAAGAGGGTTCCCTTTTCTCCACGCCCTCTCCAGCATTTATTTTTTGTAGATTTTTTTCATTTTGACCAGTGTGAGGTGATACCTCATTGTAGTTTTGATTTGCATTTCTCTAATAATTAGTGATGTTGAGCATCTTTTCATGTGCCTCTTGGCCATCTGTATGTCTTCTTTGGAGAGATGTCTATTTAGGTCTTCTGCCCATTTTTTGATTGGGTTGTTTGTTTTTTTGATATTGAGCTGCATGAGCTGTTTGTATATTTTGGAGATTAATCCTTTGCCCATTGCTTCATTTACAAATATTCTCTCCCACTCTGAGGGTTGTCTTTTTGTCTCGTTTATGGTTTCCTTTGCTATTAAGTTTAATTAGGTCCCATTTATTTATTTGTGTTTTTATTTTTATTACTCTAGGAGGTGGTTCAAAAACAATCTTGCTGTGATTTATGTCGAAGTGTGTTTCTCCTATATTTTCCTCTAAGAGTTTTATAGTGTCTAATCTTACATTTATGTGTTTAATCCATTTTGAGTTTATTTTTGTGTATGGTGTTAGGGAGTGTTCTAATTTCATTCTTTTACATGTGGCTGTCCAGTTTTCCCAGCACCACTTATTGAAGAGACTTTTTCTCCATTGTATACTCTTGTCTCTTTTGTCATAGATTAGGTGACCACAGGTGCGTGGGTTATTCTCTGGGCTTTCTATCCTGTACATTTGATCTCTATTTCTGTTTTTGTGCCAGTACCATACTGTCTTGATTACTGTAGCTTTGTAGTATAATTTGAAGTCAGGGAGCCTGATTCCTCCAGCTCTGCTTTTCTTTCTCAAGATTTCTTTGCCTATTTGGGGTCTTTTGTGTTTCCATACAAACTGTAATTTTTTTGTTCTAATTCTGTGAAGAATGCCATTGGTAATTTGATAGGGATTGCATTGAATCTGTAGATTGCTTTGGGAAGTATAGTCATTTTCAAAATATTGATTCTTCCAATCCAAGAACATGGTATATTTCTCCACCTGTTTGTGTCATCTTTGATTTCTTTCATCAGTGTTTTATAGTTTTCTGCATACAGGTCTTGTGACTCCTTAGGTAGGTTTATTCCTAGGTATTTTATTCTTTTTATTGTGATGGTAAATGGGATTGTTTCCTTAAATTCTCTTTGTGATCTTTTGTTGTTAGTGTAGAGGAATGGAAGAGAATTCTGTGCATTAATTTTGTATGCTGCAACTTTACCAAATTCATTGATTAGCTCTAGCAGCTTTCTGGTGGCATCTTTAGGATATTCTATGTATGGTATTATGTCATTTGCAAACAATGACAGTTTAACTTCTTCTTTTCCAATGTGTAGTCCTTTTATTTCTTTTCTGATTGCCATGCCTAAGACTTCCAAACTATGTTGAATAAGAGTGACGAGAGTGGACATCCTTGTCTTGTTCCTGATCTTCAAGGAAATGCTTTCAGTTCTTCACCATTGAGAATGATGTTTGCTGTGGGTTTGTCATATACAGCCTTTATTACTTTCAGATAGATTCCCTCTATGTCAACTTTCTGGAGAGTTTTTATCATAAATGGGTGTTGAATTTTGTAAAAAGCTTTTTCTACATCTATTGAGATGATCATATGGTTTTTATTCTGTAATTTGTTAATATGGTGTATCACATTGGTTGATTTGCATATATTGAAGAATCCTTGCATCCCTGGGATAAATCCCACTTGAGCATGGTGTATGATCCTTTGAATGTGTTGTTGGATTCTGTTTGCTAATATTTTATTGAGGATTTTTGCGTCTATATTCATCAGTGATATTGGCCTGTAATTTTCTTTCTTTGTGGTATTTTTAGTTTTGGTATCAGGATGATGGTGGCCTCGTAGAATGAGCTTGTGAGTACTCCTCCTTCTGCAATTTTTTGGAAGAGTTTGAGAAGGATAGGTGTTAGCTCTTCTCTAAACGTTTGATAGAATTCACCTGTGAAGCCATCTGTTCCTGCACTTTTGTTTGTTGGAAGATCTTTAATTACAGTTTCAATATCATTACTTGTGATTGGTCTGTTTATATTTTCTAATTCTTCCTG